GAGCATGATAGGTAGGTAGTTTTCCATGACGTCTTCACTTCCGCCTACGGCTCTCACAGCGATCTTGTAGAGAGTTAGCCACTGGGTGGGGTTTGCCTTGTCGTCATAGGTGTTCACCCTGATGATCTTGAAACCCACAGGACATCGGACAGCTCAGAGCCTCGTTGCAAAGGGTCGGAGTCTTGAGCCAGCGATGGGGGCAACGGGTGGTGCTCGGGGTGTAGCAGGTGCTCCGTGCTCTTCATTGAACTGCCGCTGGCATTAAATCTCTGCCTCATATCGCGGACCTATTGTTCTTGATGCGACCTCATATATTGAGATTGGCGTTGATGCGCTCACGGGCATCGTACAGGGGCTGATTCACTTCCTCATTGGCATTGCGATTGCCGCCCTAGCCTCCCTAGGGGCACAAAGGGCGCCTGTCTTGGCGTGAATGCCCTTCGTAGTTGCCCCTAGATCCTCTATAGAGGTAGGGGCCGCCACCTTGGGGTCAAGGGTGCTTGGTGCCTTGATGTTGACTTCCTCCATCATGGCGGGAGCGGTGGCTATGAGCCGACGTAGTCGAATAAGATGGTCTAGGGTTCTAGAACTCGTTGACCTAGACTTGATCTACTATGATATGCTCTCGGACCTTCTCGACCTCTGGAGTTTGAAGAAGTTTCTCAAGCTCATTGAAAGCAATGACGAGATTGGCGCTTGGGTCTGGTGGACCTACTGGTCGCCCAACATGTCGAACTCCTCCTCTAGATTATGCCCTCGGTGCGGTGGCCCGTGTGCATCCTCGTCGCCCCCGCGGGATGCCTCTGCATCTCTGTAATGTTGGCGATCGGCGTTCTTTGCCCGGCGAGCTTTGTGCTCATCGGTGGTTTGACCGTCCTTGGTGGCGCTATCATGGCTGACATGGAAAATCATGCCCCCAAACCCCAGAGGGAAAGTAGGGCAGCATGATGTAGTCTTGGTTGAGCCCTCAGAGTAATCACCGGGGCTCTCCTCTAGGACATCGTGGAGGGAGTCGTCCGAAAGCTGGTGAATATTCACCATGTTGACCACGGGCATGGGCTGATCGGACTTAGTCGGATCAATCATGTAGAGGTTGGTGGCGCGGTTGCACTCGGTGTGGTCATCGAAGAGGTGGTGGATGGCTTTTGGTACGCAGATCCTGCACCCTCCATCCTGAAGGGATAGGGCTTCGGTAGGTTCTCCATCGGGGCCTCATAATCGGCCAAGCGTAGGCTGGTAGCAGGAAGTGGTCGGCGCCGCACCGTGCGCCCCTCTGGAGTGGTCGTGATCACCAGATCGGATTCTGGCCGCCTCAAATGATGTAGCCGAGCAGGTCGCTCGATTGCAGTGACTTGGTGATCTTGGAGTGTAGGAAATTCATCGCTCATGGCAGACCGATCTAAGATCGACTCCGTGAGAGACAAGCATTTGGCTAAGCCATTGGTGACCCTATCGATAGATGCGATCAGATCGTCGTTGTCGATGGATTTCCTAACCCAACGGCAGGGCGCCGGGATCAGAGATGTCGTTGCAGATGTTGGCGCGATCGGTGTAGGGTGATCCTACACCGCCTCCACGATCTCCCCGTTACCATCGGGGCCGATGACCCAGGTCATGGATCCGACCATGAAGATCTGGCCTGGCTCGGGAAAAGCCATGGAGCTTGAAAAGCGGACCATCTGGCTCGCCATGGATTCAGCACGCACACCCCCTACCTGGTGCGCCACTGTCGATGAAATACGTCCGGTAGTCTACCGAGGGGTATGCCCATGGTAGTAGATGAATCAGTAGAGGTGCGCGTGAGGCAACCGGATGGTGACACAGAACGCAAGAGACAACGATTAGGCAGGTTTAGGCCATCAGCTTGACGTAATACCCTACATCCTGTGTCTTTGTGGATTGTATTATGAGAGATCAGATAAAAACAAGGGGGTCCCTACCCGCCTTATATAGCTCGGGAGATAGGGTTACAGGTTGGTTGTTTCTATCCTGATCGATTTACAAGATAGGAATTACAGAGCTTGCTAAATCTAGCATATCTGAACATATTTTCCTTGATCGCCAAGGATCTTCACGTAGCCTTGCGAGGCACGCCGACCTGTGTCGTGCTCTCCGCGGCGTAGTCATATGGGCTGGGCCTCCCCTAGCGGCTCGGCCCATGTATAGCCCTGTGGCTATCGGGGGTTATACCCCCACACTGAGGTATTACAGAAAGGCTCTTTGTTCTTGAGCTTTTTGTCATCCTAGATTTGTGTTAGTTTAGGAGAGGTTTGGAATTGAATGTCTTGAGGTAATCCAGGTATCGATCTTGTGCAAGTTTGTTTCCCTCTCTTTAAAATGGAATTTATCTTTCTTGGAGCTCTTTGTTCTTGAGGTATGTTTTATCTAATGTTTGGATTAAGTCGTTGGCATGACTTTAGAATGGTTCTGGATCTTTGGAACTTGGTCATATCATAACTTGAAGCCTAGCTCTTATCTCCCAAATTCCTCCCCCAAAAAAACCCTATTTTATTGCCAGTTTTTGTGGATTGCATGATTATTTTGGGCGGAGGTTGTTAGGGTGTTCTTGATCGAATTCTTGGTGATATGTGGTTTTGGTAACATATCTAGTCTTGTCCTTCCATAGATTTCACACAGGCTTTTGATGTTTCTTTACAAAACCCCATTTTAAGAGAGGAATTTCAAAATCCATGATCAAAGCTTGGACCTTTTTGGAAAGATCGCTTTGTAATACCTTCATCTTCTACTCTCGTCTGATCATTTTTTAGATCCTTCTCGTATTAACACCTGTTTGGATCCTAGAATGACTCCATCTGGAATTAGGGCCTGTTTGGTAGAGCTCCACCAAAGGAAAAAGTGAATCTGGATCTGTGATTCACCTAGATCCATCGTGGAGCAGCTCCACCGTGGATCTGGGATTCACCAAAGTGTTTGGTATAGCTCCACCAACATCTCTATCTCACTTCCACCTTGACCCCATGCGTCAGGGAGCATAATGCAAAAATACAGACTTCATCTTCTTCCTCCCGACATTTCACACGCAGGAAGTACGTGAGCTCATACCCATGGCTTGGGTGTGGCCTCGTCGGGCGCGGCCCTAGAGCTCACTGCCATGGCCATGGCGAGCGCTCGGCCCAGGAACTCGCGGCCACGCCATGGAGGGCACGCAGCCCGACAGGCGCGGCGCAGGGAGTGCGGGGAGCACGGGCCAGCAGGGCCGGTGGCGCAGGGCGCGCGTTCGCAGGTGGCTCACGTGCGGCGGTCGGAGACGGGCGCGTAGGCGAGTCGCGACGGAGAAGAACGGGAAAAGAAAGGACGAACCGTTTTTCTCCACTAATCAGTGGCATGGTGGGTAATTTTTTCCAACTCCACTAAACTTGGATTTGGTGGAGCACCCCCTAGGTGCTCCACCAATTTGGTGAATCTGAGGCCGGATCCACCCTTTTGGTGGATCAGATCCACGGTGAAGTTGGTGGAGCTAGAACCATTTGGCAAAAAAAAAGTGGATCTGAGTCTAGTTTTGGTGAATCCGGAGCTGACGAATCTCTACCAAATAGGCCTTATCCGATCCAAAAATTGAACCTCATTATTCTGTTTGGTTTGTATCAGCAGTTCCCTCCATCCGTCACCATGTAGTGCTCCTGCATGTAGATTCTGTTGGAAATATGTGCCTAAAATATATTCCAGATTTTGTTTGGAGGAAAAACTCATAAATAAAAAATGATGCAAGCATATAACACAAGTAAACATGCAACATACTGACTAGAACAGGATTGCGCAAGGAAATTACTCAATGATCCCGCACAGAACGTAGTCGAACGTGTTGAAGTAGATGTTGTAGATCACCAAGCGGTCGCGTGTAGACGCTGCCCAAAAACCTGATTGCCGCCCCGTGCAGGAGTCTCGCGGCAGTGGTTTCGGAGATCCCGCTCTCTTCAAGTCCGGTGCACGCCGAACTCCAAGGTCGACGAGGCGCAGCAGCGAGAAGCTCAGCACAGCGAGTGGGGAGATGAGCGTGTGAATGCGTACCCTTCAACCAGGACGTCTCCTGGTTTTATAGGCCTTTATAGTGCATCAATTCCCCTCATCCAGTAGTAAAAACTGTCCAATTGAATGACAGAAAATGCTGCAATCAAATAGCAGAAACTGACACACCTTATTACTGTTTAAGACGGTAGTTTCAATCACATTGAAACGCCATTACGCTCAGCATAAAAAATAGAAACTGCACAAATAATAGCCTGTTGTACACGTACACGTACGCGTCGCGCTCGTAAGTCACAAGTCACGCGATTTTTCACGCGAAAAATGCGCGCGAGCTGTGCGTGCGTGCAGCAACAGTCTTCTTCACTCTTATTTGCACCTATTTTGCATAGAGAGTAGACTCCCATATTTAAGCAAGGCAATCTTTCCTTGAATTAGCAATATAGAACTATAGGTTGTGCATGCTTTGGAATTTTTCAGATTGAATCCAACAGATTCTGCGGAGTGAGTTCATTCCGCAGAAAATGGTAGACCGACACATTGTGTTTGAGCTGATGTTGCATGAACCAAGCCGGCAAACCAAACACACTGTAAATGTTGTCCCGTTTTTGTTGTTGGTGTTCCCTAATGCGGCATCTGAAGCAGCGCAAGTCGACCAATAATAGCAAGAACACCACCGAGACACAAGCTAACCATGCACCCGCAGTTTATCTCGCACACTCAACAAAAGCTAAAAGTAGTACATGCGGCTTGCCTCCCTCCTCGCATCACCGCTCCCTAATTTTACCACACCTCTGTCGTGAGGCCCCGGACGTTATTATATTCATCTCCGTTCCTCGGCGCTACGACCGAGAGCAATGGCGCTCACCGTCCTACCTTCATATACCTAGCAGTCTCGATCTGCATAGAAAGATAAAGGTAGGAGGAGGCGCAGTGGGGTGGTGGGTAGTGTTGATTATTTGTGAGGAGATATTGGAGTTATTATATATATTAGGTAAATAGATCGATATATAACCATGGAGGAGGGGTTCCGATGGAGCAGACCGGGCTCTTTCGTCCTATACTTCGTCTTCTTCCTGTCCGCGGCCGTGTCGTCGGAGGCCAACATCGCCGACTTCGACGACTACTGGCGGCAGCGCAAGCTCATGGCCGATGCCGCGGCGGAGGCCACGTACAAGCATGACCCGCTCGAGGTCACCAACCAACTCAACCGCGCAGTCCACAGGCAATTCAGCCCCAGCAGTCACATCGATCGTTCTTGAGTAGCATGCAATGCATGCCTGTTGAATAATGTGTGCGGTGGTGCATGCATTGCATGCAGATCAGTGGAGAAGGAGGACATGAGCACGAGGCGGGAGATGATGGGGCAGAAGAAGGGTAAGCTCAACGGGCCGTGCACGGCGACGAACCCGATCGACCGGTGCTGGCGGTGCCGGCAGGACTGGGCGACGGACCGGAAGCGGCTGGCGCGGTGCGCCAAGGGGTTCGGGCGCAACACCACCGGCGGGCTGGCCGGCAAGTTCTACGTGGTGACGGACGGCACCGACGACGACGTGGTGAACCCGCGGCCCGGCACGCTCCGTTGGGCCGTCATCCAGATCGAGCCGCTGTGGATCACCTTCGCCAAGACGATGATCATCACGCTCAAGGAGGAGCTCATCATCCGCGGCGACAAGACCATCGACGGCCGCGGCGCGCAGGTGCGCATCGCCAACGGCGCGCAGCTGACGGTGCAGTTCTCCAACAACGTCATCATCCACAACATCCACATCAACGACATCATGTCCTCCAACAAGAACGGCGGCAACATCAGGGACTCGCCGGACCACTTCGGCTGGCGCACCGTCTCCGACGGCGACGGCATCACCGTCTTCGGGTCCACCAACGTGTGGCTGGACCACCTCTCCCTGTCCAACTGCCAGGACGGGCTCATCGACGTCATCGCCAAGTCCACGGGCGTCACCATCTCCAACTGCCACATGACCAACCACAACGACGTCATGCTCTTCAGCTCCAGCGACAAGCATCCCGAGGACCAGATCATGCAGATCACCGTCGCCTTCAATCACTTCGGCAGAGGCCTCGTGCAGAGAATGCCAAGGTGCCGTTGGGGATTCTTCCACGTGGTGAACAACGACTACACGCACTGGCTCATGTACGCCATCGGCGGCAGCAAGGCCCCGACCATCATCAGCCAGGGCAACCGCTACATCGCGCCGCCGAACCTTGCGGCGAAGCTGGTCACCAAGCACCATGACGCGCCGGAGTCGGAGTGGAAGAACTGGGTGTGGCACTCGGAGAACGACCTCTTCATGGAGGGCGCCAACTTCACCGTCAGCGGCGGGCAGATCAACAGGCAGTTCCACAAGAAGGACCTCATCAAGCCCAAGCCCGGGTCCTACGTCACCAGGCTCACGCGATACGCCGGCTCCCTCGCCTGCAGGCCCGGCAAGCCCTGCTAGAGCCACCGTACCAGCGCTGGGACGGCTCACAGACCAGAGGCGGTTCATTTCGAATCAAACAACTAGATTTATAAGCCTTAATCTCATCACGTAAATTGGTTCGCACATGTACGTACTTAGCACCGATCGTTAAGAAACCTGTGGGGTCGATTCGAATTAACGACCCTGTAGGTTGTTGTAACATACTAACATGCATTCGCCGGTCGCCATGTAAGAAACAGGGGAGTTGAAAGCGCGACAGACCAGAGAACGCGTCTGTGTGTGTACTGTGTTGAGGTCCTAGAGGAGAGGAAGAAAGAGTGCTCCTCAAAGAGAAGATATGTCACAGAACCGTTCAATTTATAAGAGCACAAGTACAATAGCAATTACCGAAGCGATCAAACCATCATACTTGAGCCCATATAAACACGGTAGTCCAACGAAATCACGAAGGATCTCAAACAACCAACATACAAACCAAGATCGTAGAGATTCAACACAACTCATCACATGTTACAACATAAGTTCACAAATATGTCTCCTACATCAGAGTTAGAATAATTATTACAAACCGAGTTTGAAAGTAGCGGAAGCAAGTAGTTTAATCATCAACACCACACATAGTTTAATACAAGCTAGTGTCATAGTCATCTCCAACCAAAAGCACAAAGGTGAGATGAAATACAGAATGATCATTACCCATGGTCCTAGTCCTCATCCACTGCAGGAGCAAGACAGTTCTTGCAGCAGCCATGATACATAACGTTATCTGCAACAATGGGAATAAAACCCTGAGTACGAGAAGGTACTCAGCTAGACTTACCCGTCCAACTAATATACTAAGACACCAAGGAGTATGCAAGGCATTATAAGTAGAGCTGGTAGACATTATTTGCAGAAAAAGCATAAGTTATCCAACATCTCTTTAATTGTGAAACATCAGTTATTAATCATATCTCATACTAGATTAGCAACTATCCTATACCAAACATGTTGGTACCATTAAGTCATCACAATAATAACCATATTCAGTTGAGTTCTTGCATCATCTCATAACAATCATTTCCATAATTTACTACGATGAAAGGAACTCAAGTCAAGTTCTCACTATCCGGGAGAGACGGCGATTTGAATCGATTCCTACCCAGCTGGGGAATTATTCCTAACACACACCTAGGCATACCGCGCGAAGGCAGCCTTAGGTCACCTTTGGTACAACTCAGGAACTAAATTCGCGGGTACGACCAGCGCCGCACAATCAGAGAACCACTCTGCCAAGGGTGATCGGGACTTTAACCCGCCCTTGGGCTTACGCCAATGGCTCTTCGCACATCCTTACTACCATCCAGAGTGCGCACTTTTACCACTCGTGGTCCCGGCCTGAATTGAGCTACTCGACTTCGCGGTCGGAACGACTTATCCGACCAACTATGTGAGAGGTTGCGTTCAACATGACAAGATGACCTCCAACGTCCGGTCCTTAAACGACACAGACGGAATCACTACAATACCACATATAAGACTCCGCCCGGTCTCCATTTATTCCACATTACCAGGTTATGTTCCACGATAGCACAATATAGCCAACCGTGATTAAGTTATCACCTATAGCTCGCAGGTGACAGGAAATCACCCGACTTCTACCGGTCTAAGCATAGCTAAGCATGATACGTGTTCCTGGACTTAAATAGGATTCATGGTAGATATTTCTGGTCAAGGAAGGTAATATGCAGCAATTGTTTCCAAACAACTCCTGTCACGTAATGCAGCAATACGAATAACTTTAAGTGACATTAATAAAATAGGGAGACTTATAATGCTCCGGGGCTTGTCTTTCACAAACGTCGAAGGCTGGTGATCGGGGCACTCGGGAAGGTGATCGACTTCAGGCTCTCCTTCCCCGGGAACCTCCAGGTGCTGAACTTCCTGATGCTCCTCCTGTTGCTCGACGTCGAGCTCCACAAGCGTGATCCCGTCGGTTGCACCTATTGCATGCATATGCATAAGTAAGTACCACGAATGCATGAGATGGATCACGGAGGATGTGATAAAGGAATGTACATGCTGCGACAATGATCTTAAGTAGCAAAATGATAACAAGGCTAACTCCTTATTTACCTAGTAGGTGCATATCTCTTCTCCAGTTACCTACAAATTTCACACAAGGCAATATCTAAGCTACACATGACAGTTATAAGTTTATATCATAACTGAAGTTATATTTATCCAAATGCTATGATCTTGGACTTTCTGGAAAGTTTATAAAATTGGCTACAACTCTTATTTAATCACCAAAAGCTAATTCACAATCTATATTAACCAAAACAGGCAATCAATACAGTGATGTCCAGAAATTCCACAGAGCAAGCCTTTCAGAAAGCTAACTTTAAACCGCTATAACTCCTAAACCCTTTAGCCTATTGTCCTAAAATTTTAACACAAGATATATGAATAAGTTACCTACAACTTTATTATTAAGCATTTTTACAGCAAACATTATTTTGACTATGCAACATACCAAACCATAGAATCTGTCCGAAAACCCTTCTCACCCGAATTATAAAGCAACGATATTTTTTCTACATACAAACATTCCAAATTTGACCTCACCAAGCATACCAACAGTTCAAGGACATCAAATACACTCAAGAAAATATAATGTCCAATCCCAAACTATTTATTTAAATGCCTTTATCAATTTACTAAGATACTTAGGTTAAATAATAAACATATACCAAATATGCATAATAAATTCTCAGAAAATTACAGTGACTTACAAGTGCTACCAATAGACTACTGTAAAAGTTCCATGCCATTTGACCAAGTATAACATTCTTTACAAAAATGACAAGCTAGCAAGTTCTATTTTAGTGAAAATAGTAAACCATATAGAAAAGTGTCAAACAACAGATTATATATTTTTCATAGCTTCATATTAGTGTCATACCACTGTACAAAAATTTGCATATCAATATGTTGCATATTTTTATCCCTATAATTTTCCTCAGAAAATACCATTTATTACTAGATAAATAGAAAGACCCTATTCAAAACAAGTTTACAGCAAATTCATTATTTTTTCTAGATAGATAATGTCAATACAAAACCAACAAAATTGTAATCACAATTTTATGAGTTTTCTAGCTCAAGATATCTAATTTACAAGTTTACTTATATTCAAAAAGCACTTATTTAAATACATTTTAATCACCAAGAAAAATACAAGAAACTGTATATTTCATATTTTTTATAAAAAAAACTACACTTCATAAGGAACACATCACAATTTGGTTCACAAAAATTGGACCTCTGAAACTCCACCTATGATTTTCCAAAGTTGCATGCAAAAACTAAAATAAATGAACTAGCTTTTCTGAACTGAGTCACTGACAGCAAAACGAAAACAGAGTACGGCGCGGAATCGGCCGGAGTTCGACGGAGCTCACCGATGGCGGCCTCTCCAGCGACGTCACCGGCGCGACCGTGATCCCCAAGTCTTACCGCACCTACTGAGCTACCTAGCTAGACCTATCGCCGGACATAACCACGATGGCGGCGTTCATGGCGGGGCGGCTCGACGGCGAGACGCCGAAGCTGGCCATGGAAGCTCGATCTACGGCTCGGCCAAGACTATACCGACTACGGCGAAGCTATCTCAACCACTATCGCGGCAAACAACGGATGGAGGCAGTGCGGCCACGGCGACAGAGCTAGGCGGCGGAACACCGGCGGCGCGGCGGCCTTACCAAGCGTGGCTAGCGAGAAATGGAGGCGCGGTGATGCGGTAGGGTCACGGAGGAGCTGCTGTGGTGGTGGAGGAGGGACGTGGTGCGAGCTAGGCCGGCAATGGCGTCGGTAGAGCGGCGCGGAGCTGCTGCAGAGCGCTACGGCGTTGCGGCGCTGCCGGAAGGCAAAGGAGAAAGCAGGCAGTGGAACTGAGGGCGCGGAGAGGTCACGGGCGAGCGCGTGCTTGAGTTAGCGAGCTGTGGCCCGACGTGGCCTGGCGGTTCAGGACATCGCTGACGCGCGGCACCCACGCTGCGTTCAAACGCTGCCGTGGTCGGCCACTGTCGCACGATGGAGTTCAGCCATCGGAGCACCGATTTCCGGCCTGACAGCGCAAGTTTACAGCGTTCTATCTCCTAAACCGTGAAGCATAAGCGCAAACAATCTAAACCAAAGTCATAGACCTATATACCCTCTCCAATTTCTATTAAAAGACTAAGGCCTAATTCTCACTGGTTAAGGAGTAAAATCAACTCAAAGTTGAGCCAGTGCAACTGAAAATCAGGAAAAGACTTAGAAAATTCTAAGTGCTAGAAAATAGTGAATTGTTGATTTTTGAAAGCTCAAAAAGACTAAGCTATGCACATAATTAGCTCATAACCCAAAAATAAAAGTTGTTGCTCTACTCCAATACTACAACTTTGCTTAAAGGTTCACTGACATGCAAAGTCTCTATCACATAGTTCAAACTAGGTCAAACATAGCACTTTAAAATGATGTCATACACAATATCAATGACTTAGAGATTAAACTAGACTTAGTCATGAATACCAAAGTTGTTCCTTATGCTATTTTAAACAGGTTTAAAGCATTCACAAGGTTCCACACACATTTCATACATTGGTTGCATGTAAACCCTAATTGAAGTAAGATAATTAAGTAATATCATATGCAAAATAAGCCAACAAAGATGGAATACATGATATGCTTATGATCATGAATGCTCAATGATGATTGTGATCATGCAATGTCAAGGTTAAGTGCATGCTTAACACCGAGGGTGTTACAAGATGCACATATCCAAAGCCCTGGAATTAATTGCTCTGTTGTCGACTATGTCATTAGGTGTTTTCCATGTATAGTTTGCTTTCTCTCTCTCTATAAGTTATATCCCTTGGAAAAAATAGGGGAAATTCAAAGTCATAGCACACTCTTTACTAATTTGCAATCAATACGTGTTTCTTGTATTGCCAAAAAAGAAAGAAAGAAGGTTCATTCCATGAGTTGTTTCTCTT